AGCACAGACAGACAGACAGACAGACAGACAGACAGACAGACAGACAGACAGACAGACAGACAGACACTCACCCAACACGGGGTAACTAGCACCCTGCAGCAGACACATGACCAGTGTACAGGAGGCCAACATCTTCCCCAGATTTTCCACACCCAGAATTTCTGTGATGAGAGGCGCTCCTAGCCCAACCTGGGCAAACCCGAGACCCCCAGTCAGTACGACCAAAGCGATTAAAGACTCCAGCGTTTGAAAAAACCGGATACAGTGACACAAGATTCCCATACACAGAACTGTGGCGGCAATGATCTGGCTCACTCGGAACAGTTTGAGATCAGCCAAATAACCGTAGCCAAATCTGGACACCATGTCGACCACACCCATCAGCGTGAAGAGGAGGGCGGAGTTTTGCTTGGACACGCCTACTGAGGTGGTGTGGGAGGGGAGATAAGCTGTGATAAACATCCCGGCGAAGTTGAGAAATTGGCTGAACAGAAGTAGGATGGCGATGGGTCGTCTCAGAAGCTTCGGGTCGAGTAGCCTCTTGAAGAAATCCCCGACTGCTCTACACACCTTGCTGCAACACGGACGAGGGGAGGGCGAAGGAGAAGAAAAGGAAGATTTATTTTTTGATTCGATGTTCAATTTTTCCGATTCAGAAGTCGTGCAGAATTCTGACTGTATATAAATAGGTGGGGGTGCACCAGCGCTTATCTCACTATCATTCATGGGAGTTTTTGGACGATGACTGTTTTCACCTGAATCTTTACCTGAATTTGTCAACTCTGGTAAAATAACACATCCATTGTTGGAATTTTGTGTAGCGAGTTGCTTTGTTTCGGAACGTATCCGTCTATGAGGACCCTCGATAACGTATTCTGTGTCGGATTTTTCCCATCGCGAGCCTGGGGTTTGCCGGAGGTCATGTTCCGAATGGTTGAAGGTCTGAAGCTGAACGTTGTCTTCTTGTACTGGTTCTTGACCTAGAAGTTTGCGGTCGTCCTCGTGTTGTCCCTCCCTGTGACTTTCTTGTTCCACGGGTCTGAATAGAAGAGCCGCAAAAACAGCATTCAACTGGGGGAAGATGAGAGAAGGCAACCATTTCAGAGAATGAAACCATTTCAGAGAAGGCAACCATTTCAGAGAAGGCAACCATTTCAGAGAAGGCAACCATTTCAGAGAATGAAACCATTTCAGAGAATGAAACCATTTCACAGAATGAAACCATTTCAGAGAATGAAACCATTTCAGAGACTGCGACCATTTCAGAGGATGCAAAAATTTCCGAGATTGCAACAACTTCAGAGAATGCAATAATTCCAGATATTGCGATAATTTTAGAAAATGCAACCACTTCAGAGACTTCAGCCATTTCAGAGAATTCAATCATTTTAAAGCATACGGCCATTAAAAAAATATTTGATACAATAAAAAAAAGAGAGAATTTAACCATTTCACCAACATTCTTATGTCTTCCTACCTCATAAGCGCAGACAAAGTGCTAGGAGGCCGTTGTTTTGTCCACACAGCTTATCTGTAACTCACAAAACAAAACAACCAATAAAACGAAAACAAAACAAAACAAAACAAAAAAGCTTTCACATCATCAGACCCTACCCCAGTAGGTGGTCAGCGGGCGCTCTGATGTGCTTTGCCTTTCTTTGTGCCTTTGGTATGGGTTTAACGATTCTATCAACACTATTAGGTTATTCAAGGGGCGGGACCTCCTAGTTTAACGTCCGTTTCCGATAGGACCGAGCCAAGTGGGAAGTTCGTGTGAAGTGCCTTTCCCAAGGACACAATGTCGGACCGCGTTGAGGCTCGAACCCCCAAAACTGCAATCTCACGATTACGAGTCCGGTAGCCTAACCACTAGACCACCGACGCCACTTGTGGTTTGCTCTTTATTTCCTAGATATCATGAACATCTATCGCCCTTATCACTCCTCATTCTTTTCTTTCGTATGCTTCTCTCTAGTAACAAACACTTGTAATCTTCGACACTTATAATAATATGACCTAATTGTGTTGCAAGTGGTGTAAAACTCTTTCTAATACTCATAAATGTTGTTTTTCAGCCACACCCCTGGTCTTATGGTAGGTAAGATCTAACACCTAGCCTTCTCAGATAAGGGCAAAAATTCTCTGAGGTGCCATACGCAAGTTGCGCACGTTAAAGATCCCTTGGTAGTCCAAAATCGAACAAGAGTAGACTTCGGCCGCCACCTGGGCAAAAATCAAAATTTCCTGCCAACTGAAAAATGTTTACTGTATTCCGCGCTCTCATGTGACCTTATGGAGTTGCGAGCGCCGTAAAACACTTATAAAAAACAAACAAACAACAAAAACGACAACAACATCAACAAAAACACAAACAAAGCAAAACTGTACCGTACCTCAAAGGCACAGAAGATCAGGAGACATCCCTGAAAACCGTACTCGTCTTTGAGGAAGCGGAAGATGGGAGGCAGGAGGATGGGGGCACAGCTCAGACCCATCATGGCGAGGGAGGTGGCTAGACCTCTCCGGTGTTTAAAGTAATGGTTGAGGAGAGCCAGGCTGTTGATTAGGGTGGTGCCGTGGCAAAATGCTGCAAGGGAGAGATGAGCGGGGGAGGGGGGGGTGTGATA